GTTTGATGCATGGTTAAATAGAGCTATCATGGTTCTAGGAGTTCGGGAAGTTTCAATCTGACACGAGGTTTTTATAAATTCTGATTAATTTTTGAAAATGCGGCTTTCAACTCCGCTGGTTCAACCAGTACCTACATTTTTCCCATTACTTTTCAATAATTCAGTTCTCTCAAATGTGTTGGACTAATGAGTTGCTTAGTACATGGTTAAATAGACTTGGCATAGTTCTAAACGTCTGGTAATTTTTAATAGGACCAGAAGTTTTACGCAATTTTGACGATTTGCTAAAATGTAGTTGCTGGATCGTCTGTTTCAAGCCACATATTTTAAGAACTGGTTTTCAAAAATTAAATTTTCTTAAATATACCAGACTAACGCGGATCAATAAAGGATTTCCTGCTCCACCATTCGTGAGAATTTCAGCGCCATTAAAGGTTTTTGATAAATTTTGACGAATTTTTGAAGATGGGGCTTTTAAATCCTCTGGTTCGACCGGTCGATTTTGTGCAAGAGTTTTCAAAAATCACTTTGTCATAAATGTACCAAACAAGCATGTTGCCTTTCACATAGTTGAATAGAGGATTCGTTGCTCTATGCGATTGTAGAATTTCCGCGCAAGGAGACTTTTTGAAAAATGTTGACGAATTTTTAAAACTACGGCTGTCAACTCGTATACCTCAAGCGTTACTTTTTGCACAGTAGGTAGTTTCCAAAACCTCTTTTTTCCTATATGTTGTCTGATTGTCGTTGAAAAGACAGACCTATCCTTGATTTAAGTGCTATGAGCGTTTGATACCGATTGAAACTTTTGCTGAATTTTGACGATTTTTTCAAAATGCCGCTCCATTTGTGCATCGTTTGTTTCAAGTGGCGCGTTTGTAGACTAGTTTTCAAAAATAAATTTCTCGCAAATGTGCACTCAAAAAAAATCACTCTAGAACCGCTTTATGAACAGTTACATAGAGCTTCCTTTGCTCTAAAAGTCTTAACATTTTCTTAAAAAGAGGACTTGTTGACGAATTAGGGCGAATTTTTAAAAATTTCACTGTCAGGTCTGTTTCAAGCTGCACATTTTACCGACTGCTTTTCCAAAATCAATTTCTCTTAAACTCATCATCCCAGGGAGCTGCTTTTAGCGTAATTGAATAGAGGATTGTTTCCTCCATATTTCTTGATAATTTCAGTGCGATGGGCCTTTTTGATAAATTTCGGCAATTTTTTCAAACAGCGGCTTTCAACTCGTCTCCCTCAAGCAACACATTTTGCAACCTAATTTCCACCATCTTTTTTTCATGAACTTTACTTGGGGCTTATTTCTGCGTAATTCCATAGAGCACCATCTGGTGTACACAGCTGAACGGTTTACATGAATTTTTTAAACGTTGTTAATAATTTCCAAGTAGCAGTTATTCTGCAAAGTGCCAGGTGAATTGATCAGTTTGTAGAATGCCTCGACATTTCGCACACATAACCCATCGAGTCCTGGCTAAGAAGGCCACGAGTTCGAGCAACAATTGCACTTGATACATAGAGAAACACAGTTTACATGTAAAGTACCAATAAAAAACGGCATCACTTTGGGCATGCAACGGTTAATAACATTTTTAGCTACTTACTTGTTGCCATTTACGAAACAAATTCGGTAAAACCATCAAAGCCACTTAACGTTGTAGAGAAACCGAAACCGGTCCGAAATATGTATGTTTAGACAATAAAGGACACAAATTAATAACAAACACAAGCGCGAATACGATATCAGTGGGCCAAGTTTAGTCTACTACGTCGATTGTTTGTGTAAAAAACATGTTTTTGTACTGGCCAAAATATCATTGTGTATTTTTCTCCCGTCCATGGGAATATAGTTCCTCATGGTCAAGTAGCTGGGGAAATGGCCAACTCCGTACAGACTGAGTAAAACCACGAATAAAGCAGCAAATCCCATTAAAGCTAATTGGCTTTGCAACCATCAGTTGGTCGATGTGATAAATTAAAATAAATTTATTAACACACCTGTGGTTTAAACTCAATTGTCGGATTAGAGCCGAATTGTCATCGATTGCATCCCGATGGTTTCCACCTTTTTTGGGAATTTTGCTCTAACTAACATGACAAGGCCGACTGTTAATAATTATCACAGTTTGCAAGTTGATAAAATCAGACCTCTTCTATTCGGCCGGACGTTTTGTTACGGCATGTTTCACTTCCTAGTTAATCATGTAGAATCACAATAGCTCATTAACGTCGAAAAAGCCCGCTTAGATCAGGTGGGTTTTTCGATGTTTTTTGTTCTCTAAACGCCGCAAATTCGTAAATAAAAGCGAACATTTGCCAAGTTAACTTGGCTGATAAATCAACGTACTTTTGCTCTATTTTTTGCACTTTTTACGGTTCAATTGGAGAAGAATCAACAGTGCAAACTACCTTTAAAGATTGCACTTTTTCTGTAAATTGAAAGCTGTTGAAAACGACTGTTCAGAAATTATGCAGAGTGTCAAATAAAAGCGGGCCAGCGGTTAAGATTAGAGAAAAATTTTGCATGGTCAAAGTGGTCACGGAAAAATCGAAGAAAGGATTTTTGAGTGTGGTATTGAAGATTGCAAATTACAATTCTACTTTTTGCCCACATTTACCCTATTTAGATATATATTTGGCAGCACCCTTGGAAATACTGAAGAATTTTACTCGATTTTTCTCCGAAGGTTTACTTTGACTAGAGCGGGTTAAGCCATTTAAAGTGCGTTGGTTTAAATAGCTGTAGTTTCCAAACCAGCTGAAGGATTTTCAGATTATTTGGTTTGCTTAGGAGGGAAAATGAAGAGGTAGATTTTCCTATAGTGGCGACCAAAACCGGATGATTCTTCACTCAATTGCTAGAGGGCGGCGATTGGAGTGACGATTTTTGCCATCTTGCCCCTAAAACGTGCATCATCCGGTATAATGTGATTTCAAAATTTAAAAGTGGATTAAGTCCTAGTTCGGAGCTTGAAAACCGCACTTTGATATCCTAACTAGTTGTAGAATTATCATGAAATTTATCACTTTTTTTACCTTTTTGCATCCAATTTTGAGAAGCGATCCATAAGTTTCACTTATTATTACTCCTGCTTTATTTCGGATGCATTTTCCTTGCCAATCGGTCGCTTTTCATAAAATTTAATGGACATTTTWACTGAAATTTCGCTAAAAATTGACGCCAAACCGTAAGTGTAATTATTTAGCGCCAAACGTGTTCCCCCTTCGATTTGAAACTTTTCAAAAACCGTAGACGAAAGGAGAGGTTTCAGTGTATWAAATAACACTTGRAAGCTTTAAAAATTCAAGTTTCTGAAAACGAATCAAGTTACAAGGGATTTTATCCGGCAAACTTTGAAACTTCAAACGCCAATTACTCTTTAGCTCGAAACGCGCTCTCTTCTTCAGGGATTTCAGATTTTCCCAAACTGGAACATAAAAGAGATATACAGATTTCAAAAGACATTTTGAAACTTTTGCAATTGCTGATGCTAATAAAGCTACAAACGAGTTTATTCAAGAAACTTTAAAACTCCAAACGGCAATCACTCTTTAGCTCCAACGCTACCTTCTTCATCGACCGAAAATTTTCCAAAAATGCGAAAAATAGTTGTTCAAAATAACATTTAGGAACTTTAAAACTTTTCAAAGGCAATGAAGTTACAATCGATTTTATTCGACCAACTTCAATCACTCTTTCTTAACTCAAAATGCACTCTCTCCTTCATGGATTTGAGAGTTTCCAAACACTGAAGATAAAAGAGGCAAAATATAGAAGATATATGTGTGTTTAGAAGGAGATTTTGACCGAAAGGATTTTGACCGAGTAGAAATTGCCAAAGTTAATGAGCTGCAAGCGAGTTTATCCGAGAAGGTTTGAAACTTCAACCGCCGATCACTCTTTAGCTGATATATATATATATATATATTCCCGAAACGCAAGAAATTGGAGAGGTCTTTGTTCCAACTAACCTTCTCAATCTTTGAAAATTCCCAAAATCAATGAAGCAACAAGCGATTTTATCCGACAAACTTTAAAATTTAAAATGCCAATCACTTTTACACTCTAAACGCACTCTCTCCTTTATTAATTTGAAATTTTTCAACACATAAGATAGTTGGGATGTTGTTGTTTCAAAGAAGATTTTGCACCTTTGAAACTTCCTAAAGTCAATGAAGCCACGCGAGTTTAACCAAGGCGCTTTGAAACTCCAAACACCAATCACTCTTTAGCTCGAATAGCGCTCCCTTCTTTAACGATAAGAGTTGTTAAAAATTCTGGCAATAGAAGATGTCTATCTCTTCCAAATAACATTTTGAAACTTAAAAAATTCCCAAAGTCAATGAAACAACAAGCGATTTAATCTTACAAACTTTGAAATTTAAAATGTCAATTCTTCTTTGGCTTGGGACGCCTTCTCTTCTTCTTCATCAAAAAATCTTCAATCATCGATTGAAGATTTTTCAAAGATAGAATAAAGAGGACACTTTGATGTTTCAAATGGTAACTTGAAGCTGCAGAAATTCGCAAAATCAATGCGCTACAAGCGAATCGGACCGACCACTTTGAACGTTCAAGCTCAAATCACTCGCTTTGAGGCAACAATTTTTCACATATTTTAAATTTTCAAAAAAACAGCAGAAATTGAGAATTATGTTTTTTAAAAATCCGGCCCAACTAATCTTGTCCTAGAATTTCAGCAAAAAAATGTCCAATTTTTCAACCAAAAGCAATGCTTCGTAGAATTTTGCTCCTCAAAAGAGTAACCAAAAAAACCTCGATTGATGTTTTGTATGGAATTTTGTGTTTTTCGCTGCTCCACCCAATGGTGGGAGTAATAGATTTGGCGGTGGTTTGCCTGTTCTCCAGATGAAAACAGCGAAACAATCAAACACCCAAGCATTGAAAGGGGGCTTAATTGATAAATGGGAGAACCGAAAGCGACTTTTAATCGAAAATGCCCACGTAGCGATTTTGAAACAACTCATTCGATAATTTGCATAAATCCATTTAATCATATCAGCACGTACTTATGTAACATTACAATACCTAACGGTAATTTGCTATGATAAATCAATCAGTTGGAATGTTGTGGAGCGATTAATTGGTACAAATCTGTGTGGATAATTACATGCATCCACTGTGAGTCTTAGATGGTTTTCAGCATCATTTGCTCAGTAGCAGGAATTTAATAGTGGAATTCCGCAATCAATTGCCGATGGGAAATCAACCAATCTACCAGATCTTGATGTGTGAAAACCACAGATTCCATCGAAAGAATCGAGGTTAGGTAGCAAGAAAGCGTGTGCGTTTGACCTCAATCTCACTCACACTCCTAAATATTTGGGAGCAGCCTAAGAAAAGGGAAATTTGTGTGAGTCTCGTGAGCTGGGGAACAAAACCCAACTGAAACCACCTGAAAAGCAAAGGTCGAGCCCAAATAAGTACCTAAAGAGCGGCAGTTGCTTCGTGTCGGATGAAAGTCGTGCTTAACTTTTGCATTCCAATTCTTTCGGCATCGGTCAACTTTCCCAGGGATTTACATTGGAAATTCACACCGTATTCACACCAAATTTCACACACAGCACACACCAATTACGGTCGATTAGTCGTCCGGATGGGGCACGCAAGATCCGTCACAAAGCCGACATTCGTTGAAGAAAAAATTCAAATCTTGCTGGCGAAAAAACCGTTGAAATGGTACCACCGCGGCGAGTCCTGCCTACGTTCGAACTAGTGGTACCGCGGTAAGTTGATGGCAACCTGTGTTGGTAGGGGACCGTGGGGCAAGGGAACCACCAGGCATGGGCTTACCTGTAAAATGTGGTCGCGGTACTGCGTGGTTTCATTTCAACGCCAGTCACGATGTGGATTGTCTGCGGGCATTACATGGTCAGTCTCTATCGACCACAGCTTTACTCAACTCATTTCCAACTGTT